AAGAACCCATTCCCCACCACCACCCAGTTCCTTGCTTTAATTTTTAAAAAATATTTTTTTATTGATTTTAGGAAGGAAGAGGGGGAGAGATAGAAACATCAATGATGAGAGAGAATCATTGATTGGCTGCCTCCTGCACACCCTCTACTGGGGATCGAGCTTGCGGCCAGGGCATGTGCCATGACCTCCTGGTTCATGGGTCGGTGCTAAACCACTGAGCCACACTGGCTGGGCTAAGCCATTTTTAAGTTTCAGTTAGGTACATTCACATTGTTGTGCAACCATCACCACCACCCATTTCCAGGACTCTTTATCTTCCTAAACTGAAACTCTGTCCCCATTAAACATTAACTCGTCACCCCCCACCCCCAGCTCCAGGCACCATTCTTTCTGTCTCTATGAATTTGCCTGCTCTAGGGACCTCACATCAGTGGAACCATACAGGATTTGTCCTCTGTGTCTGGCTTATTTCACTTAGCATAATATCCTTAAGATCCATCCGTGTTGTAGCATATGGCAGAATGCCCTTCCCTTTTTAAGACTGAATAATATTTCATAGTATATACATACTACACCTTGTTTATCCATTCATCCAACAATAGACACCTGATTGCTTCTACTTGTTGGCTACTGTCAGTGATGCTGGTGTACAAATGCAGGCGCAGGGTAGGTGATAGACTGGGAGGGTCGGACCAGACCTGGGTTGAGCGACCTTGCTATGCGAGTTCTGGCTAGGAAAGATTTCAGAGCAAGCTCGCACCATAGGAGAACATTTATTTGGAAATTCACAGAGGTAGAAGCAACTCCTAGACGAAATGGGCTTAGGAAGCAAGTGATAGAGGGAAAGGAGGAGCCTTGGGAGCTTGGGAGTGAGGAAGCTAATGGTAACGTGCCTGGGGGAGGCAGAAAGGAAGGGGAAAGGGAGGGGAAAGCGAAAAACAAACAGCATAGGCAAGCTCCTGGGAGGAGAGTGAGCTGTATCCTCAGTCCTAAGGGTTTTGAGGGTGAAGATGTTAGGGGAGGTGCCTGGGGAAGATCTTCATAGAATATTCATCAGCTTTCCAGTGTGTCCTTGCAGGGTCAAGGTCTCCAGGGATTCATTCTCCAATGCAGTTGGTCCTGAGGCCAGCCATGGGGTCGCTGGTCTGGTTTTGCTGCTTTTCTGGGCCTGGAGCTGAACTACAACTGAGGCCTAGATGTTATCTCTAGGCAGGAGATGTTATCTCAAGGTCAAGGGGGGGACCATTGCTGTGCTAGGGGAGGAAATGTCACCCGGTGAGAGCCCACCTGACAATCGTCTTTTGCTGGGCACCTAGGGCTTTCCGTCCTGGTGACCTTCTGTGTTCTGTGCCTGTCCCATCGTCCTTGCTCTGCTCATGTCTACCTGCCTACCACACATATATCTTCAAGTTCCAGCTTTCAATTTGGGGGGTATATACTTAGAAGTGAAATTGCTAGGTCATACAGTAATTCTTTGTAATGGGGGGAGGCTGCTATATTGTTTTCTTTTTTTTATTTATTTAAATTCTTTATTGTTGTATATTGTTTTCCATCGTGGCTGCACCATTTTACATTCCCACCAACAATGACAAGGGTTCCAAGGGTTTTGACTTCTTCACATCCCTGCCAACACTTATTTTCCATTGTTTTGTTTTTCATCCTCACCGGAGGACATGTTTATTGATTTTACAGAGAGGGAGGGAGGGAGGGAGGGAGAGAGAGAGAGAGAGAGAGAGAGAGAGAGAGAGAGAGAAATGTGAAAGAGACACATCAACTAGCTGCCTCTCACACACACCCCAACTGGGGTCGAACCCGTAACCTATGTGCCCTGACCCGGAATCAAACCCATGACCTTTTGGTGTAGGGGGATGGTGCTCCACCAACTGAGCCACACTGGCCAGGGCTTGCTTGCCTTTTTTTTAAATAGTAGTCATCCTACTGGCTGTGAAGTGGTTCTAACTTTGCTTTTTGGAGGAGAGGTGAGTGGCCTTTTTTGACCAGAGCATTTATATCTGTCAGGCTATGGTTGTGCAATTTCAAATGGCTTTTATCTCTTGAACAC